CTGCCCGGCTCTGTTTTCTTTTCTTTTTTTTTTTTTTCTGGGGGGGGCGGTGCTTGTTTATGTTCTCCAGATAGAGTTTCTCTGTGTAGCCTGGCTATCCAAGAACTCACTCTGTAGGCCAGGCTGGCCTCAAATTCAGAGATTGGCCTGCCTCTGCTTCTGGGTTTAAAAGCGTGTGCCACCACAGCCCAGTTGCTTGCTTTTTTTAATTTTTTTTTTTTTTTTTGGTTTTTTTCGAGACAGGGTTTCTCTGTGTAGCTTTGCGCCTTTCCTGGAACTCGCTTTGGAGACCAGGCTGGCCTCGAACTCACAGAGATCTGCCTGGCTCTGCCTCCCGAGTGCTGGGATTAAAGGCGTGCGCCACCACCGCCCGGCGCTTTTTTTAATTTTTAAATTAGGAATTGTTTTTATTTATTTTGGTTTTTCGAGACAGGGTTTCTCTGTGTAGTTTTGGTGCCTGTCCTGGATCTCGCTCTGTAGACCAGGCTCGAACTCACAGACATCGGCCTGGCTCTGCCTCCCGAGTGCTGGGATTAAAGGCATGTGCCACCGCCGCCCGGCCTAGGTTTTATTTTTATGTGTATGGTGTTCTGTCTGTATGCACATCTGTGCACCAGATTGGTGCCTGCAGAGGCCAGAAGAGAAGAGCAGATCCCTTGGAACTGGAGTTACAGATGGTTGTGAGCTACTGTGTGGGTGCTGGGAATTGAACTCAGGTCCTCTGGACCAGTACCCAGTCTTCTTAACCGCTGAGCCATCCCTCTAGCCCCAGAAGGTGTTTTTTAATGAGTCAGGTTCTCACTAAATAGCTCTGTCTGGGCTGGAAGATGCTATGTAGACCAAGCCTTGACCTTGTACTCCTCTTTCTGGCTTCTGCCTCCTGAGTGCAGGAACTACAGATATGTGCTATAGTGCCCAGCTTTTACATTTTTATATATTTACATATTTTTTAATGTATTCACTGGGTTTTTTTAGGGGGAGGAGGACAAAGTTTCTCTGTGTAGCTGCCCTGGCTGTCCTGATCCGCCTGCCTCTGCCTCCTGAGTGCTGGGATCAAGGGTGTGTGCCACCACTGCCCGGCCTTTTTTTTTTTTAAATAATTTTATGTGTATTGATGTTTTACCTGCATGTATGTCTGTGTGAGGGTCTAGATCCCCTAGAACTGGAGTTATAGACAGTTGTGAGCCACCATGTGGTTGCTGGGAATTGAACCCATGCCCTTTGGAAGAGCAGTCAGTGCTTGCTCCAGCCCCCTGGTGTCTTGTTTTAAGCCACACATCAACTTCTACAAGATCAGTGAATCCTAAGATTCTCCTCCTCTGCAGCTGTGACTCCTGCCCAGCTTCTCTACTGACCTTGTACTTCAATCAAGCTCTTGGCCACCAAGCCTCAGTGTCCCTCCAACGGCTAACCATGAGCATTATTTTCCTCAGGCCCATTCTCCTCTCATGGAGTCAGGCCATGGATACTTTCAAAGGGGAGGGGCTTCCAGGGGAGGGTGAAGAACTCTGGCTGCTTCTTCAGAGGACCCAGGTTTCGTACCCAGCACCCACATGGCAGCTCACAACCGTCTGTAACTCCAATTCCAGGGGATCTGGCAGGTCTCTTCTGGCCTCTGCAGGTACCAGACACACATGAACTGCACAGACATATATGCAGGTAAAGACACCCATACACATACGATAAAAAATTAATTAATTCAGTTAATTAAATAATAAATAAAAATAAAAATAAATAAGTATTTAAAGGGGGGTGCGTGGAGAGATGGATCAAGAGTACTGATTCAATTCCCAGCACCCATGTGGCAGCTCACAACTGCCTGTAACTCCAGTTCCTGAGATCAGATGCCCTCTTCTGGTTGTCCATGCACCCGGCAGGTACCCGGTACACAGACACACATGCAGGCAAAACACCCACACACATACAATAAAAATTAAAAATAAAATAAAAGAGGGGGCTCCTGACCCCCTTCATTTTTTTCCCCATTACTTGATTCAGGTGGAAGGCAAGTGGGACGTTTATTCCCATCAACTTGATGGGATAGAGAATCGCCATGTCTGTCTGGATTGGTTAGCCGGGGCGGGAAGACCTCCTCTAATTTAGGTGGCACCATCCCATGGGCTGGAGTCCTGGACTGCATTAAAATGAGAAATTGAGTTGAGCACTAACCAGCATTCATCTCTGGGTGACGGTGGATGCCATGTGACCAGCTGCCTTAGGCTCCTCCCATCATCCCTTCCTCTCCATGATGGGGCATGCCTTCAAACTGTGAGCCAAAGGAGAGTTTCCCTTAACTTGGCTTTGGGGGGGTGGGGGTGGGGGGGGTGGGGTGGTGCCTTTTGTTGTAGCGATGAGAAATGTAATTCATACAATAAAAGCCCGACTCCCTGGGACTCACTAAACATCCTCAAGGAAGCCTTGATTCCGTAAGCAGGAGGTGGCACAGGTCTTAAATCCTAGCAACTCAGGAGGCTGAGGCAGAAGGGTCATGAAACTGAGGTCAGCCTGGGTGTTGTGGACACTCCGAGACACGTCTACCCCTTTATGCAGCTTGGACATAGAATGGCAAAGGACTATTCTAACCCAAGCCAATGGGTTTATTGGGCTCACCTACAGAGCCTGATGAGGGGGGTACTGACAGCAGGGGAGGGGGTCCAAAGCCGCCACAATACTGAAGTCTCGCCCCAGCATGGACGGAGAGGATGACAACCTCCACTCAGCTGCATTGATGGAGTCCCAGCTTCAGGTAGCTTTCCATGGTCTCCCAGGACTTCCCCAGACTATCAGGGCCACAAGCCATCAGGGTAGAATGGTATACCATCCTCTGCACATTGGGAGGTGCAGGAGGAAGTGTGTGAGATCAAGCCAGGGGCCATGGATCCTCAGCACCCCCTCTTTGTATCAATGAGAATTCTAGCGGTCCTCGGAACAATAAATTCCATCTTGGAGACGACTCGGAAGTCGTCGAAGCTACCCTGATAAAGACGTCTGCTGTTATGTTCGGAGGACAGCCTTCTACAGCGCTGGGCTAAGGAATGAATATATGAGTGTGTGTGTGTGTGTGTGTGTGTGTGTGTGTGTGTGTAGACAAAGATAAAACAGGGACAGGGAAAACACGAAGAGGGAGGTGGCAGAGACAGAGACACAGAGAATTTTACAGAGTTGTAACTGTTGGGAAGCTCCTGCCCCCAAGAATACAAGCCCACCCTCATCTGCCTAGTACCCAGGGTGCACCTGGGCAGGGAGAGCAGACTCCCCAGAGAAGCAGGTGTGGTCTGAAGAACAGGTGTGGCAAAGCCGCTGGGCTTCTTTCCTCCAGCCTCACCCTGGCCTTGTTTCTGGCGGATGATTGCTTTATTACTGTTTTCAGTCAGCTCTAATTCTAGCATTTTTCTATCATCTCGATCCTTTCATTGATACTAGATCTTCATACAAAGAATTTGTATATAGGATGATTAGACACCCACCAGCACACATCCCCAGGCAATTAGAACGTTTGAAATGCAGCGCAGCAGCAATTCACATCCCTCGTTTATTACTTTGGAAAGTGTTTTGTGATTTTTCCTTTTGGGAGGGGTGGGGGGGGGGATGTGTTTACCAAACCAACAACAATTCGCATTTCGAGTTGCAAAACACGATGCCGTTTTGAACGGAGACAGATGGCGGTTAAATGAAGTTTAATTAAAGAATGAGCGCTTTGACTCAAATCGCTTTACAAAGCGCGGCCTGCTCAGATTCTCGAGGGCTTGCATAAACAGCATCTGGAAGCCTCTGCAGAGGAGGAACCCAGGAAGGTTTTCCGGGGCGATCTGGGAGCGCAGGAAGCAAGGGGCGTGTCTGTGGGGGTTGACCTCTGATGGGCCACACTCAGGAAGTGGGGTGGGGGGTGAGACATGAGACCAGGACAGGGGGAAACAGGCTAATTCTTAGATGAAGTCAGGTGTGGAGACAGACCTGTAATCCCAGCACTTGGGAGGTGGAAGCAAGGTGGATCCAAAGTTCAAGGCCGTCCTCTGCAACATAATGAGTTTGAGACCAGCCTGGGTAACCCAGGATCCTGTCTCAAACAACAGCAAAGACTGCTTTGGAGGGGTACCCTTAATTCATTTTTTTTTTTTGTGGGTGTTACTTTTAATTTTGGAATTTTGCTTTGAGACAGGGTCTCACGTAGCTCAAACCGTTCTCCCACTTTGACCCTCCTGCCCTCTCCAGGATTGGGGTTATAGACGTGACCCACCCACTGTGCCCAGGTTTATGCAGCTGCTAGGATGGAATCCAGGGCCTGTTGCATGCTAGACAAGCACTCTACTAGCTGAGCTACATTCTCCCAGCCCGTTTTGTTTTGAGACAGGGTCTCCATAGCCCAGGCCCACTGAACTGCAAGGACCTGCTGAGGGGAAGGTGCGGCTGGCTCTGTATTTATTGCCTTCGGGATCCGGTTTCCCAGCGCCGGCCCCACCCAGGAGCTCCAACCACCGGCTCTGATCTGGTTGCTTTGGGTCATGGTGGGGGCGTGTCTAGACCACAGACAGGCGCCAGTGGTTGCTCCCAGAATAAGGGCGCCAGGTACCCAAGGCCCTATCTAGACTAAAGCCAGGTTCCAGCCATGGCTAAAGGGTGGCTTGTGAGGCTGAGCTACAAGACTGGCTGGGGGAGGGGAGCGCTGGAACGGCGTGCCAAGAAGTTAGCGCTTAGTATAATGGGGAGAAAAATCCCAGGCTTCATGTGATATGTGGGTGCCCCACCACGGAGCTACGCCCGCAGCCCCTCACGGGGGTGGCGGCGGCGGCGGCGGCGGCGGCCGGGGTGGGTGACCTGATCTAAGGGATTTATTTGAGACAGGGTCTCACTATGTAGATCAGTCTGGCCTCAGACTCCCAGAGATTTTGCCTGCTCCTGCTCCTGCCTCTGGAGTTGATCTAAGGGTTTTTTTACATTTAAAAAAAAAAAAAAAATTGGCCGGTAATGGTGGCACATGCCTTTAGTCTTCCAGTCTCTGAGTTTGAGGCCAGCCTGGTCTACAGACAGAGCTAGTTCCAGCCCAGCCAGGGTTACACAGAGAAAGCCTGTCTTGACACAAAACCAAAAGGGATTTATTTTTATTACTCTAAATTATGTGTATGTGTGTAGACACGTACGGGCCATTCACTTCTGGAGCTGAAGGTATCGGCGGCTGTGGGCCACTGGACATGGGTGCTGGGAATTAAGCTGGCATCTCTGTAAAAGCAGGGTACACTCCGAACGGCTGGACTGTTTCGCCAACCCTAAGGTTTTCGTTTTTGTTTTTTTTTCCAACATAAGGTTTCTCTGTGTAGCCCTGGCTGCCCTGGAACTCTCTCTGTAGACCAGGCTGGCCTCAGAGGTTCACCAGGCCCAGATTATGGTTTGGTTTTGTTTTTTTTAGAAAGGGTCTTATATGTAGTCGTCCAGGCTGACCTCCCGATTTGCTATGTAAAGGAGAATGTCCTTGAACTGATCTTCTTGTCTCATTTCCTAAATGCTGGGCGACAGGTGTGTGCTATCATATTTACTCGACGTAATTTGAGACAGGGTCTCATATTGAACAACTCATCAGGCTTTCAAGGTGAGTGTGCCTCTTGGTCTGGTCCTCAACTCCAGATCCTCCTGCCTCAGCCTTCTAAGCGTGTGTGTGTGTGTGTGTGTGTGTGTGTGTGTTATAGGTGCACCACAGGGCCAGCCATCTCCACTGGAAGAGGCAGTTTCTGTAAAAAGGATGGTGATTTATGATGGCGTCTCGAAGAGAAAGAGGGCTGGGTGTGACAGCGAATGCTGAGCGTGACCCCAGCGTTGGGAGCCGCCCACAGGAAGACCTCAAGGAGGCAGAAGCAGGCGGATCTCCGTGAGTTCAAGGCCAGCCTGGTCTACAGAGAGAGAGTTCCAGGAACATCCGTAGAGAAACCCTGTCTCAAAAACAAAACAAAGTAACAACAAAAAAGAACATATGGTTTTGATTACTTCAGTTATACATTTAAATACATATATGTAATTTAAAAATCACACTCAATGTACGTGTGTTCCCACATGACAGCGTATGTGCAGAGGTCAGAGGGTCATGTGTAGGAGTCGGTCTGGGATTGAACTCAGGATGTCAGGCTTGAGGGCATGAACCTTTCACCCGCTAAGCCATCTTTCCATCCCTTTCCATCTTATTTTTGGAGACAGGCTTCTTCTCTGAACCCAGAGCTCACTAACGCAGTTAAGTTAGGCTAGTGGACCAGCAAAAGCAAGCTCCAGGGATCCTCGTTTCCAGCCTCCCATCGCCGGGGTTACAGGAGGATGTCGCCGCCACCGTGCACAGCTTTTTACCCAGATACTGGGGTTCTGAAGTCAGGCTGTCATGCTTGCAAAGGAAGGTACACTTTACCCACCGCACCATCTCCCCAGCCCCAAATGGAAACTCCTGAACCTCCTGAGTGCTGGGGTCACAGGTGTGCACCACCATACCCAGGATGGGCAGTGCTGGGGTGGAACCCATGGCTTTGTGGAGGCTGGGCAAGCTCTCTGTGGCTCCTCCTGGGGCTGCAGTAAAGAAAATAAGTCCTGTCCCCGGACACCACCAATCTAGTGTTCAGAAACTCGAGACTCCAGAGTATGGCATGGGGCACCTGAGCTGCTTGGTGTCTTGTCTGACTCGGTCCCTGGGTGGCTGCTGGGGCCACACCACCAAAAGCGTACGTATAGCCAGAAAAATAAAGTAAAATAAAGGTAACACTTTTTTTTTCTTTTTTCTTTTTTTTACTTATTTAAAAAGGCCTTGGCGGCAGGAATATAGTGTAAAAATCATTGGAAAAACTAAAAGGCATCGATACATATTCGAATATACTTTGTACATAAATTACATTTCCTTTAGTCTTTCTGAGTTGAGGTCCTGATTCGGCTCTGAGGTTTAATAATCAAGGGGACCTGGAAGGTGCGCGTTTAGTCCGGAATAGTCCACCATGTACACTGGCCACTGCTAGAGAGAGGGGGACAGAGGGACCAGGTTAGGACTGCAGGTGATATGAAGGAACTCCCAGAATAAACTAGCTCGCTTTCCTTGAGGGCGAACTCCAATGTTACTTATGCAGCCACTGAGGCCCAGGGAGGGCAAGAGACCTCTCTGAGGTCACACAGGTACAGCTTGGGGGGACTGTCCCCCACCTGTGTTCCAGGGGTTCAACATGTGGATTAGACACCAGCGAGGGATGAGTGAGCAGGCGCAGTAAACACCATATACCAGCTTCACCCTACAGACACTGTCCCACCTCTCGGGGTAAAAGGAAGGAGAACTCAATGATAAAAATGACGGTAGGAGAAAATGCAAATTCTGGGCTTTCGGAAGCACCCAGGCCAGGTGGTGGTGGTGGTGGCGCATGCCTGTAATCCCAGCACTCGGGAGGCAGAGGCAGGTGGATCTCTGTGAGTTCGAGGCCCGCCTGGTCTACAGAGCTAGTCCAGGACAGGCTCCAAAGCTACAGAGAAACCTTGTCTTGAAAAACCAAAAAAGGGGCTGGAGAGATGGCTCAGAGGTTAAGAGCACTGACTGCTCTTCCAGAGGTCCTGAGTTCAATTCCCAGCAACCACATGGTGGCTCACAACCATCTGTAATGAGAGCTGGTACCTTCTTCTGTATACATAATAAATAAATAAAAAAAAAAAAAAAAAAAAAAAAAAAAAAAAAAAGAAAAGAAAAACCAAAAGTATCCAGAATGGAGTTGAAGGGGCACACAAAGGATCTAGAAATCCTAAAATCAGCCTCCCTTCTTTTCTGTTGAGACAGTCTCATGTAACCCAGGCTAGCCTCAAATTTCTCATGTCCTGAGGCTGACCTTGACTTCTGATCCCCCTGCTTCTACCTCTCCAGTGCTGGGATTACAGACGTATGCCGTCAGGTCCAGTTTATGTGATTGATGCTGGGGATCTAGCCCAGGGCTTCATGCACGTAAGGCAAGCATTCTGCTGACTGAACCACAACCCCAGCCCCCTGCCTGGTTAGCAGTTTTCTTTGAGATGGAGTTTCCTATCGCCCAAGCTGGCCTTGAACCTCTGATCCTCCCCATCTCCACTACTGGGACTATAGGCATACGCCACCACACCCAATTCTTTACATAGGTTTTCCTTTGAATCAGGCAAAGGGCCAAACTCAGTAACATGGCGGACAGATGATGGAGGTTGAGTTCTGTCATGTGACCATCTACCCTCTGGCTCCTGCTGTCCTCAGTTACACACATCGCTGGTCACACCCACACTTCAAGCCCTGTGCCGATGGATCGCACAGACCCCTCAGTCTATCTTGTGGGCAAAGCAAGTGGGTGCGCCTGCACCTCTGAGGTTGGCGGAGTCCCTCTCAGAGCCCAGTGCCTCCCAGTTCCTGGAGCTGTGGGCGGCCCTGCCCGAGGGTGGGGCACAGGCCACACAGAATTGGGGTGAAGTTCGGATCTGCGTGACTTTACCACGAGGGAGATCTGGTTGGTGGATGCCACAGACTCTGGGTTAGAGGACGAGGATGAAGAAGAGGAAGAGGAGGAGACCGAGTTGCCTTCCGAGACCCGCTTTCTCTTGCGCTTGGGAATGTCTTTGGCTGGTGGAAGAAACAGTTGCTGAGGCCGGATGCTGGGGGCCATTCTGTGTCGGCCTCCTGAACTCCCTGGAGAAAGCCCTTGCTTTTAGATTTTTAGTGGTTTCTTTTTTTTTTTTTTTTTAATGTCCTGGGAATGGAACCCAGAGCTTTGTGTAGGTTGAACCATACTCCTAGGCCCTTACTGGGGGATTCTAGGCAGGTGCTGTTCCTCTGAGCTAAAGCTACAGCCTGTCACAGCATCCCAGGCTCCGTGACTCTCTCTCCCCACCAAGCGGCTGGGGCTCACTTGTCTAGCCTCATTCCCCAAGCAGGTCTAAGGACCAGGTGTCCCACTTCTGGTTCCTATTCACCTGCCTGCTTTGCTGGTAAAAATATCCCCTCACCTACCCAACAGGCTCAGTCAGGGATCTGGCTCACCCAGATCATTCCATCTTCAGTAGGGCTATCTTCCTATGACCTTCAAAAGCCCTAAGCTCCTCTACCCACCTCCTATACCAAAGTGTTTTGGTTTGGTTTGTTGAGACAGGGTCTTCCGTAGTCTAGGCTGGCCTCCAAGTCACTGTGTAGCTGAACTTGGCCTTGATGCCTGATCCTCCTGCCTCCACCCCCCTCCCCTCAGTCCCAGTCCCGGGATTAAAGGTGTGTGCCACTATACCCGATTTATGTAGTGCTAGGGAAATCATAACGGGACTTGGTGCATACTCTCCCAACTGATCCACACCCAGCCTTACCTATTATTATTATTAATATTTTTTTAAGAATCATTTATTTATGTATGTGTGTGTGGCACATGAATGGAGGTCAGAGGCCAACTTGAAGGAGTTGCCTCAGTTTCTCCATCATGTGGGGTCTGGGGATTGAACTCAGGTCGTCAGGTTTAGCAGCAAGCACCTTTATCCCCTGAGCCACCCAAGGCCTGTGCCTGCCTGTGCCTTTTTATCTTTGAAGGCAACAGACTGGTCCCCAGGAGGCAGAAGGCTGGCCTCCCCGGCCTCTGACTCACCTGGCCCCTTGGCATCATTGCAGACTTCTGCAAAAGGTCTGAAAAAGAGAGAAGCAAGGCCACAGTTAGGTGGTTCCATCTCCTCACGCGCTCCTTGGGATTCGGGACACCGACTCTACATAGCTGAGATGTAGCGGTTGTGGCTGCAGCCGGGTCAGTCCCCGCTATGGTTTTACACCCTGAGTGTTGCCCAATGTGTTAAATGTGTGTCTGCACACTAGACCTTGACGAGGTGGGGCCTAGTGGGTGGGATAGGTCCTTGTGGTCATGTCTTCAGTGGGGATCCTGGTACCCTGGCTTCCTCCTCTCTCTCTGCTCCCTGGCTCTCGGGAGGTGAGCAGCACCTTCCACCATGCATATGCTCCTACCAAAAACAGGCTCAGGTGACCAGGGCACAAAAACTCTGAAATTCTTTTCCTTTTGAGACAGGGCCTTGCTCTGTAGCCAAGGCTGGCTCATCCTCCTCCTGCTGCCTCTCAGTTACTGGGATTATAGGAAAACGTTGGCACACCATTGTCCCTCAAACATTTTTTTCTCTTATTGTTTAAATTTTTTTCATTACATTTATTTAATTGGTGCATGTATGTGTACATGTGTGTCCAGCAGAGGTCAGAGGACAACTTGTGGGAGTTGAGTCAGTCCACTCCTTTTATGATGTGAGTCCCAGGAAACCTGACTGAGATTGTCAGGCTTGGTGGCAAGCACCTTTACCTGCTGTGTGAATGTGTGTGTGTGCCTCTGTGTGTGTGTGTGTGCGTGCACTTGTGCGTGTGTGTGTGTGTGTGTGCGTGTGTGTGCGCGCTCGTATGATGGTATGCATGAGTGTGGAGGGCATAGATCAATGCTAGGTATCTTTCTCAGTTACCTTCCACATTATTTTTATTCTAAAGAATTATTCATTTATCCAGGTGGTGGTGGCAGTGGCCCACGCCTTTAATCCCAGCACTTGGGAGGCAGAGGCAGGCGGATCTCTGTGAGTTCAAGGACAGCCTGGTCTACAGCCTGGTCTCCAGGACAGGCACCAAAACGACACAGAGAAACCTTGTCTCAAAAAAACCAAAAAAAAAAAAAAAAAAAAAAAAAACCAAAAAAACCAAAAAACAAAAACCCCCCACCAAAATTTATTTATTTATTTACTTACATGTGTGTATACAGATGTGCAAGCCTGTGTGCACAGGAGGAGGCCAGAAGAGAGAGTACTGGGTGTCTCTCTTTACCGTTCTCCACCTATTCCTTTGAGGCAGAGTCTCTCCCTGAAGCTGGCACTAGTTTTGCTCACTAGGCCTGAAGCCAGCAAACTCCAGAGACCATCCTGTCTCAACCCTACTCGTGGGGCCACAGGCATGCACGAGAAGCCCCACGTGTTACGTGGGCACTGAAATCTAAGCTCCAGCTCTCGTGATTATGGAGCAAACATTTCGACCTGCTGAGTTATCTCTGTAGCCTCCGTGTTATATTTTTAGGCAGAATTTCTCACTGATTTGGCCAGCCTGGAGGGCCAATGTGCCCCAGGAATCCTCCCTGCTTTTACCTTCCCGGTGGTGGGATTACAGGTGCATGCTGTGGGTCCTGGAGACCTGAACTTAGGTCTTCATGCTCGTTTGACAAACATTTTGTACTAATTGTGACTTCTCCCCAGCTCCTACCTCAAACTTTAAAGATGATTTATTTTATTTTTTTATTTTATTGTATGAGTTTCTGCATGCACATGTGTATGTGTACCATGTCCGTGCACAATGCCCAAGGAAGTCAGAGGAAGGTATTGGATCCCTTGGAAGTGTTATTAGGGATGGTTTGAGCTACCACGTGGATTTCTAGAATCGAGCCTGGGTCCTCTGCAAGAGCAACAAGTACTCTAAACTGCTGAGCCATCTCTTCAGCCCTGTCCTAAAACGTCTTGAGTACAGAGAGGATACTCAAGAAATTCTAAATTGTGGGCTGGGTAAATTAGCTCAGGCCTGTAATCCCAGCAGCCAGGAGGTGGAAGCAGGAATATTAGGAGTTCAAGGTCAGCCTCAACTACATAGTGTGTTCCAGGCCAGCCTGGGCTACATGAGACTCTGTCTCAAAACAACAACAACAACAACAAATTGGAGTTGGTTTTCTGACTCAGATCTCTCTGTCTGACTCCTGGCTGAGCCTGCTGATGGTGTCCTGGGCCAGGGTGGTACCCTCTCCTCCCCGACAGCTCTTGCCCTGCGGCACTCACTGGAGCTGGTTGATGATAACCATCCGCACATGCTCCCTGGCCTTCAGGATCTTCTCCAGCCGATGGATGTCGTAGGTGTTGGGGTTCCGGAAGGGGATGTCATCCGGGAGGCCTTTCACCTCCACGGCATCTGGGCTGTCCCGGATCAGTTTGTAAGGGACCAACACAGGCCGATTCAGTCCCAGGGCCTCCCCTAGAGAGCGCAGGTCAGAACCAGAGAGAGATGCCCCCATGTCAAAAGGTGAAACACTCTAGGGAGAGGATCGTGACTCTGACAGCCCAACTCAACAGCCATCCCACCCCAGGGCCAGCATATTGATCATTCGCATATGTTATGATAGTTCATATTGATCATCCCCAGGTTCTAGAATTACCTAGGAGACAGACACAGCTCTCTCTGCTCCCCAACTGCAGATGTGACCAATTGCCTCATGTCCTTGCCCTATGGACTAGTTTTAATCTGTGACCCCAAATAAACCCTTCCTTCCTTAAGTGGGGTATGTTGTCACAGCAATTAGAAAAAAGTAACTAACACATATGCCACCCGTCACTGTGGTCATGCGAGCTGCCCTGTGGACCCACCCCGGCCACCTGGGGGCACTGACCGTATTTCTCATTGAAGAGCTCCTTCACCTGCTCTCGGAGGATCACCTTCTCCCCGAGCCTGTTGGCGTCATCCTCGTCTGCAAGGAGACAATCGGACTATAGGGCCGGCACACGCTTCTCCCGCGTGGCCCTGGCCTGCTGGGCAGACGCTCCAGAGACTGCCATCTCTACTGCAACCGCTTTGGTCTCATGAGTGTATCCACCCACTCACCTCCCATTCATCCATCCACACACCCACCACTCACCTCCCATTCATCCATCCACACACCCACCACTCACCTCCCATTCATCCATCCACACACCCACCACTCACCTCCCATTCATCCATCCACACACCCACCCAGTTACCTCCCATTCATCCATCCACACATCCACTACTCACCTCCCATTCATCCATCCACACATCCACCACTCACCTCCCATTCATCCATCCACACACCCACCCAGTTACCTCTCATTTACCCATCCACACACCCACCACTCACCTCCCATTCATCCATCTACACATCTACCCACTCACCTCTCATTTACCCATCCACACACACCCCACTCACCTCCCATTCATCCATCCACACACCCACTCACCCACCTCCCATTCATCCATCTACATACTCACTCATCCTTCCATCCACCTGAATTTTCCAAGCAGCACCCCTACCACAGGCCAGGCATAGAGCACCCCAAGAGGAGCTAACAGTGTACTGAATACTAGTTATAGCCCCAGAAACAGTGTGATGGGGCACTCTTTCAAACCCACTGCGTTAGCCTGAAAATTAACTATATTTGCCTTAAGGACCACATGTGTGTATACACACACAAACATACACACACACACACACACACACACACACACACACACGCTTGTAGAAGCCATGATATCTGGCTTGGCAGCAATGATGGGGCTGTTACGTTGCCCCATCTCAGGGTGAGGTTCAAGGGCCTGGACTGGCCGTGGCCTTTCCCCACCTGAGCGGAACAGGCTGCCTCCTGCAGGCAGCAGGGGCCGTTCTTAGGAGTATGTGGTGTGCAGAGACAGGAAGTTACGAGGGACAAAAAGCCGTATCCTCCTGCCTGTGGCTCGCACACTACTACCTCCCTTTTTATGGATAACAAGACCGAAAACAGGAACACAGAAGAACCACCACCAAATCCAAGTCCGTTGGCTTTTGTTTTGTTTTTTCTTTTTTCAGCTGGGCCTCAATCTCATGATCCTCCTGCCTCAGCTTTCTTAGTGCTGGTCACGTTCCCTACGACACCCGGACTGGAAGGTTTGTGTTTTTGTTTTTAATTACACATATTTATGTGTGAGCAAGTGCACGAGTGGAGGTCAGAGGTCAACTTGCAGGAGTCGGTTCTCTCCTTCCACCACCACGTGGGTCCTGGAGATCGAACTCAGGTCCTCAGGCTTGGCAGCAAGTGCCTAACCCCTGAGCCATCTCTCCAGGCCCAGGGTTTTTGTTTCTTTAATTAATTCATTTTATGTGTATATATGAACACACGTGGATCATGGCATTTCAAGTGGAGGTCATGCTGGCAGTGGTGGCGCACGCCTTTAATCCCAGCACTCGGGAGGCAGAGCCAGGTGGATCTCTGTGAGTTCGAGGCCAGCCTGATCTACAGAGTGAGTTCCAGGACAGCCAAGGCCACAGAGAGAAACCCTGTCTCAAAAATCAAAACAAACAAACAAACAAAACGGAAGTGGAGGTCAAAGGACAACTTGTTGATTTTTTTGTGTTTTTGATACAGAGTCTCACCATGCAACTCTGGCTGTCCTCCAACTTGCTATGTAGAAGACTAGGCTAGCCTGGAACTCACAGAGATCCACCTGCCTCTGCCTCCTGAGTGCTGGATGAAATGTGTGTGCCGCCATGCTTGGCTCAGAGGACCTCTTGTGGGAGTCAGTTCCCTCCTATGTAACGGGTGGGTTCCAGGGATCGAACTCAGGTCGTCAGGCTTGGAGTCATGTGCCTTTAGCTGCTGAGCCCTCTTGTCAAGCCCGGGGCGTTTTTTCTTTTTCCTTCACTTCTCCCCATATCCCCTTCTTTCCTCCCATTCATTCATTCATTCATTCATTCATTGAGCCAGGGTTTCAGGTAGTACACTACTTGAGTCTCAAATTCAGTATACAGCCAAAGATGATCTGGAAAGAGGGCCAGATCTTCTTTGCCCCGACTCCTCAGTACTGAGGATTGCGGATGTGTCCCACCATGCTTAGCTTGTACTGTTTAAAACGGTGATGAGCACAAGAGAGACACCCCTGGGATCCTTCTGACCTAGCTGCCAACTATCTGGTTCCAGCCTCCATGGTCTGGTGGGTTTTCTAGCTGCCGTGTCCCCATCCCTACCTCCCAATTACCTTGTCAGCTAACCTTTCCTCCGTACTCTGCAAAGAACCGAGTATTTAGTGAGCACAGGGCTGAGTCCCACCCATGCCCTACCCTTACTGTCCTCAGATGGCTCAAAGACCACTAATGCGGTTGGTAGCCACACCGGGTTGATGTCACACCAACTCAAACAGAGGTGTTGGCTGCTTTTATCGATGTGAGTGGTGTTAGAATTCTGCTCTCACTCCAGCTACATGACTACACACGTGCAGTTTGGAGCCTGGGGTCTTACTTAGGTCATCAATGGGTGCTGGCGACTATGTACACACAGCGTGGTCACACAATCTGCACCTTAAAAGCTGGATGCAGCGCCGGGTGGTGGTGGTGGTGGCGCACGCCTTTAATCCCAGCATTTGGGAGGCAGAGGCAGGAGGATCTCTGTGTGAGTTTGAGGCCAGCCTGGTCTACAGAGCGAGATCCAGGAAAGGCGCAATGCTACACAGAGAAACCCTGTCTCAAAAAACAAAAAAACAAAACAAAACAAAACAAAAAAAGCCGGATGCAGACCCCACACCCTCTCTGCTCTGCTCCCCCCCCCCCCCCCCCCCCCCCCGCCATCTTTCTCTCTCTCCAGGCCTGGCTCTCCTCTCTCCCCTCCCCACCTTTTCCCTCCTAATAAAGCTCTGAAAACTAACACTGGGTTCTTTCGTGACCGTGACCTTTCAGCGGTAACCAGTGCCGCCACCAGCGCCCTTTATCATCCTTTCAAGTGGTCTTTCAGAAGTTAATTTTTGGGGAGCCCTCCCTCGGGACGCTTATCTTTGGAGAGTCTCTCATTTGGAACTGGCCAAGTAGGTTAGGCTGGCTGGGCTAGCGAGCACCAGGGATCTACTTGCCTCTGCTCCCCAGAGCTGGGACTATTTTAAGTGGATGCCACCATAGCTGGCCTCTGTGGGTGTGCCGATTTGCTGAATGACTCATCCCCTCAGCCCCTCTGCTTGTACATTTACATAAGGGTTTCTGGAATCTCATAGAAAGGTCCAGGGCTCCCTCAACTTCATGAAGTGGCAGAGCCTCTTATTTATGAACCCGAGAACACAGGAAGTTCCTTTCCAGCCACACGTGGGGTGCAGGACTTGAGATCTTTAACCCATTCAGGTGCAGGGTGGGACACAGTGGCCCTGGCTGAGTTTCCATAGACCAGGAAATGGTCAGGGCCTCCCAGACACCCTGCGGCTCCATGGCCCCTTTTGGAATAAAGGAGGAAGCATAGGGCCAGATTTGGGCCCAGGAGTGGGATATCTGGCCACAGTCCTCTCTGCCCCACCCTGGCAGCGGTCAGCACTTCCCAGGAAGACAGTAAGGTAGGCAGTCATTACTACAGCCATATTAACAGAGAGCATAATGACATGGAGGAAGCGTGGCTGGGGCTGGAATTGTGGCGTCTTGGGATACCGAGACAGGACAGTATTATTTCAGCTCTCCAGACCAAGACAGAGCTGGAAGGGTGGGAAGGGGGGAAGCCAGGAGGGCTGGAGCCAGGAAAATATCCCTCCAGCCTCAGGGAATAAAGTACAAAAGGGCAGAGGGAACCCTGAAGGAATGGCCTAGAGATAGTAAGTCAACCCACCTCAAACTGTAGATTATCAGGTGCCTTACCCCAGACCACAGAGAGTAAGTCAGTTAACTTATCCAACAACACAGAGAGTGAGTTAACTTATCTATGATCATACACAGTGAGCTAACTTATCCAAGACTACAGAATCAATTAACTCATGTAAGATCACAGACATAAGTTAACTTATCCGGAATCGAAGATCGTAGTTCAGAAATGGCAAACTTGGTTCCTAAAGGGGGAAACGGGACCATTCTGTCTCCTCACTCCCCGCTTGTCAAGATCAACCCCAGACTGGCTCCCAGGCCTGTCTCAGGTCCCCTTCTCCCCGAAGCTTTCCATAGTTTCAAGGTGACAGTAGATGGCACTGAGAGGGTCTTCTGCCACCTGTGTGTGGCAGGCCCTTCTCCACAGCTGAGCATCTCAACCTGGGCCTCAGACGATGTTAGAGAAACGGTAAAACACTTTCCTCACTGATACACTGACGTTAGAAGAGATTTACCGATAAACTTGCCTAGAAAATATTAAGTTGGCCGGCCTGGTGAACTCGGGAGGCAGAGGCATGTGGATCTCTGAGTTTGAGGCCGGCCTGGTCTACAGACTGAGTTCCATGACAGCCAAGGCTACACAGAGAAACCTTGTCTCAAACCACCACCACCACAACAACAATAACAAAAAGCAATGGAGAGATGTTTCATCAGTTAAGAGCACTGGCTGCTCTTCCAGAGGACCCGGGTTCAATTCCCAGCACCCACATGGCAGCTCATAACTATCTGTAACTCCAAGATCTGGCACCCTCACACAGACATACATGCAAGCAAAACACCAGCGCACATAAAATAAAAATAAATAAGTAATTTTAAAAAAGAAAGCAAAAATTAAGTTATACCAAAGTAAAATTCAGCTAAAGGAGTACTGCTTGGGCTATGCATTTCAGAGAAGACCCTGGCTGACAGACGCTGAGTAAACAATGCGCCTTTCACCAGGAAAAGCATAATTCTGGGTGACCATGGTGAGCAGGCTACCTTGGTCTATCTTGAGATAACTGTGACAATATTTCTACATTGTAAATCTCCCCATTTGTTCAAAAAATGACCAAAACTTGCAGTTTCTGTCTCTGTAAAACATAAAACACATT